AAATCTAACTTTTAATGCATCACAATAAAAACCCAAGGGATTATTGTGTAGATCCCACCAAAAGAGCTAATTTAAGCAATAGCTCACAGAGAGAAGCATATAAGAAATTTAGCATGTATTCCTGAAATGTTTAGACAGCCTAAAAAATAAAATTAAAAACTAGAAAACTATCATTTAGAGGGCTAATCCAGCGCCAGATATAAATGATACCTAAATATGTAGCAAATGGTTAATAATAAACCTGAATGAGATAAAATCATTAACCTTTATCTTTAGTCAATTCAGACACCCATGTCAGTGCTCTATGTATACCATTAATTTTATAGAAACTTTAGCCAGAAAATAGATTTAAATAATATTAATTTAGCCAGTTTAACAACAACAAAAAAATGAGTTTAGTTAAATATAATCTTAAAAATAACAATGAGTTGTTTCTGACAGAAAAACATTTTTCATTACATTGTCTATGTGTGTCAAATATAACATAAATCCCTTGCTTTTAACTTCTAGAAAAACTGGTGAAATTATGAAGAAGAGGAAAAAGTGACACCAAGTTTGCAGTGACACAGAAGCTGGTCAAGGCTGGACAGTGAATTAAAGCCAAGAAAGCAGTCAAGAGCAGAGGCAGAGACAAAACGACTTTGCAACTGAGGCAAAGCCAGCTTCAGTCAACAAAAGCCTCTTAGGCTCTTCCTGCTGTGGCCGAGATAGCTAAGCAAGGGCCTGGAGACACACAGGCTTCTGAGGCCCTTAGGACAGTAGTGAGTACCATCTCTTCCTAATGTCCTGCAGACCAGAAAGGCTTCTCAGCCCTCTCACCCCCCGCCCCAACCTCACCTCTCTAGGGACATTTGGCAATGTGTGAAGATACTTTTTATTTCACAAGTGGGAGAGTTGCCTCTGATACATAGTAAACAGAGGGTAGGGATGCTGCTAAACATCCAGAAATGTACAGGACACAACAAATGTCATTCCTGCTCTAGGCACAGTATTCCAACTCTGAAGCTCCAACAGTCTTAAAAAAGACATAACCCTAGAATCTTTTAACTTGTGGTATCATTAAGAAGTTTTCACTCTAAGCAAGTTTAAAAGTTCTTGTAGACCTTAAAAATCAAAAATAAAATACCAATCATCACTACATCTCCAAATAATTCAGAGCATGGCTTATTTAGTCATTCCCTACTGTATTTCCATTGCACATGGTAAATTCCACATGATACTGCGACAGTGTCAGTCCTAGCCCCAACACCAAAAGCACCTAGAGGAACAAGTACCATAGCTTATTTATTTCTGAATACTCAGGACCTACCTAGCTTGAGTCCTTTAAGTAAAAGAGTAGGCACTCAAAAATTTGGTGAAAAGATCATTTGGTTTTTTCCTCTGAGACTGCAACGAACTCCCCATCCTACTCAGATAATCTATTCCTTGAAAGGAAATGAGGAGCTGAACCAACAAGCACAGCACATTAAAGGCATAATTGTAGGTTCAATTCTGGCACACAGCAGTTAGACACAGAAAAAACTTTCACAAGCACTTGTTAATTTCTTACCTAGCATTTCCTTTATAAACAAGACATCAGCACTATGGCTATGCCAAGTATGGTGCCCAAGTATAGTCTTACAATCTATCTTGATGGTAGCTGCAGAAGGACTAATTTAAGCAGGTATCAACTAATGTCAGTGTGCAGCAGCAAAGGAACACTGAAGGGTAGGGCAGGTGGCCTGGCATATAGCCACATGTATTCATATATACCAAGTGCATGAAAGGGACGGACAGGCAAGAAGCAAAAGATAAAGAAAAGAATGACATAGAAGGTAGCAGAAAGGGCACAGGAAAGGTAAAAAGAAATCCCATGGACCTACTGTTGTACCTGTCAATGACTTGTCTAGTCTACAGATCTCAACCTTCTATGAGGTAACTATTGCGGACCAGGAATGGCTGGGCCAGACACCTCACCCCTGTATCCCCTATTATCTGAGTCTACTGTTCAACTCTGGTTCCAACAGTAGACTACTGGAGCAGTTACACACTTTCCCTTCTATAACCTCAATCAATTCAAGCCCCCACCCTTTCACAATCCCATATAAAAATCTAGCTCAAAACTCACCTCTTGCTGGCTTTCCTTCATTCTGCCGTTTGTAGGAAGCAGCAGCACGCACGGGTTCTAAGGAAAGGTGGGCAGGGAGGAATTACTACCAGCAAGCACCTCTGTGCCCAGGAGGAACAAGAGAAGGACCCAGAAGTGGAAATGATGAGAACAGGAACTCTAAGCACTTGCTGGTGACCCTAACCTCTTTCCTAACCCGCCTTCAAGTACGGCTGCCTGATCAGCCACCACTGCAGAGGAGTAACATAACAGGAAAAAACCTGCTTAAGATCATAAGTGGGTTGGGTCCAAGACCAACAACATGAAATATGAAGATGAGGCTAACCAAGGATAGCATGGGCAGAAAGAAATGAGGAAAGGATCATAGAATAAGATACCAAAAATTGAAGATGAGATCATATCTTACTCTTAATTTTAAGAGCCTACTCTAATCTCCTCCATAAAGTCAACATTCAAAGGATTGATTAAAGAATGACACCAAAATATCAAAAATGAATTATCATTAACAATAAAAAAAGAACACAGGAATGATTTCATAGTAGTTATTTTGAAATGCTCTCAACAGGAAGCCTATTATTAGATCGTGCTATTTCTTTTTATACAAACTTTCTCATAGATGAATTTTCTTTTTTTTGTTTTATCCTCACCCGAGGATATTTTTCCATTGATTTTTAGAGAGAGTGGCAGAGAGAGGGAAAAACAGAGAAATATGAATGTGAGTCCTGCATGCACCCCCACCAGGGCCTGGACCGGGGAGGAGCCTGCAACTGAGGTACGTGCCCTTGACCTGAATAGAACCTAGGACCCTTCAGTCCGCAGGCCAACCAACGCTCTATCCACTGAGCCAAATCGGCTAGGGTGATGAATTTTCTTTATACCTAAATCCACAGCTACTGTCTTTGTTGAATCCCTAATTATCTCATACTTAGAAGCATGTAAATATTTTATTAGCTTACAGCAAATACTTGATGCAGATGGAATCAGCTTTCTAAATAGCCTAAATATACTAGCAGAGATTCCCAAATATCTTTGCAATAACATACAAATTCCTTCTTCTATTATAGATCCCAAATTGCCAATTTTACCTTTTTTTCTAAGAAAACAACACACCTCTTCTGAACCATTTTGGCACTGTCAGCACCTTGTATTAAACAAATGGTGCCCTCCTACTTTTGGAAGAATGTTGCTGAAGATGCAGTGTCCCTCTTATTGTTCACTGATCTATCATCAGGAAATGAGCAGCTGATATGTTTTTACCCAAGGTACACTGCGAACACTATTACTGCTCATTTCCTCTTTGTTTTAGGCAAATCCTTAGTTCACCTACAGCAACTACTGAGAGCCTTATTATAGGCATTTATTTAATATATTACTAACTTTATTCTTATTTTTATTTTCATTTAATTTTCCTTTTCCATAAAAGCCTTCACCCGTTTTCTTAGCTCTATTTTATTAAGTGTTTATTTTGTTAACCTGTCTCAAATTCTTTGTAGATCAAGAAATTAGGACAGGGATGTTTTACAGGAGTGTCTGGAGTCTGAGGCTGGCTCGTGTTAGCTGGTGAGAGTGGAATGTCTGCATCTCTTCCAAACTGCAAGTTTAATGACTCCACATGGGTAGCCTGAAATCAGCCACAGTGGTAGTATTTACTCCATGGATATCGGCAAATATCACAAATCAGGTAGTTTTCCCCTCCATAGAGTCAGTTTACTAATACATGCTATGTTTATTGATTTCAATTCCAAATTTCAGAGACACTACAGGAATTACCACATTTAACTACAGAGTTCTAGCCATGCTGCCCTAAACAAGCTTGGACTATTTAATAAATTTTAACAGACTAGTAAAACCACCCAGTTGAACCTGGCTCAAATTGCAGAATCATAAAAAAAAAAAAAATCAAGTGGTTGTTTTAATTTTTTAAATTTTAGAGTATATTTTAATACAAAAGATAGTAGAAACAACCCCACTGTGCTTAACTCCTCATCCCAGAGTTTCCAAGGATATGTTTATATTAAAACCAAGGGTCTTGTCCTGACAGGTGTCATCCTGTGCACCGAAAGATTGCAGGTTCAATTCCCTGGGTTGCAACCTCAATCACAGATAGGGGGTGTGCATGAGGCTGCCAATATATGTGTCACTATCACATTGATGTTTCTCTTTCTCTCCTTCTCCCTTCCATTGTCTGTAAAGATCAACTAAAAACAACAACAACAAAAAACAACCAAGGGTCTTTCTTCTTGTCTTCTACTACAGCATATTAATAAATATAATAAAATAAAACAAGCATATAATAAAAACTAAACAAGTTTGGTTTTTTTTAATATTTTGCCATTTGGTTTTCCTGCCTTTGTACTTTTGTGTTTATACTTCCTATCTACACCTTTCTCTTTCTTCATTATTGGTTATTGTTCCTCCAAGTGAGTGTTCCTAACCCCAGTTCTTTTTGCTCTGCTATACTTATGTGGCTCCAACCAACACTATAAATACCCATATTTTTCAAATCTGCTTCTTAAATTCACACGTCTTTATTTCTGACAGGATGCTACTCCTTACCTATTATCTATTATCTCAAATTCATCTCACACAGGATCTTACAAAAAGGCTCAACACATTTTTGCCTTTGCTGTGACTTGCTAAAGAAAGTAAGTTCCAAATTAGGATAAAGGAAAGAAACCAGGAAAGAAAAATTCTGAATAAGGCAGTAAGGAAATCAAAATCCAAGTCAATATTTTGGTGAGTGAAAGAATAAATGGGAAGGAAGAAAATGAAGAGGAATTTCAAATACTGGTTCCATAGACCAGGTATAAAGTTATTCCCATGCAGATGAAATCAAAGCTAGAGAAGCAGATTATTCTTCTAACAAACATTTAAAAGTTCTACAGGAATTTAACATTTGGTGACTCTCTGAAATAATAGCCAATTTAAATATTAATAAAACAATATTTGATGACTCTTTAAATATAATAGCTGTAAATTTGATACGATCTTTCAGAAATATGCTTTCTTTCTGATGTGTTGTCCTGATGAAAGCCATGACAAACCTAAACAGACTCATCCAATCCTAATTAAGTATTGTTATTGATAATCCATGAAAGAACAAAGGACACTACTAGAAAAAAAATCATCATTTAAAGATAATAAAAGTATGGATTCTGTCTTGCATATTATTAAATTCTTGGTACAGTGCCTGACATATAGGAATAAAAGACACTTTTGAATGAAAGTCTTTTCAATAAAACTCAGACATGGACAATAGTGTGTTGACTGCTAGGGAGAGAAGGGTGGGGGTAGTTTAAGAAGAGGGTATCGGGGGCATAAACGGTGATGAAAGGAGACTTGACTTGGGGTGGTGAACACACAATCCAGTGTACAAATGATGTTGTGGAATTGTGTACCTGAAACCTGTATAATTTTGTTAACCAGTGTCACCCCAATAAATTCAATAAAAAGTAAATAAAAAAGTCTTTTCAAGAAACAAAAAAAGTTGTAGCACAGGTCATTCATCTTCCCCTTGAAGCTTTGAAAGAGAAATTAAGATATGAACAAATGAAGATGTGGTGCTGACAGAGAAGATAAGGAAATAACTTATTTTCTCCATCATGAATGATGACATACGAATTTGGGGCTTTTGGTTAGGAAGAGCAGGATTTCCTAGAGATCTACTGATTTATTCAAAAGGATACAAAACAGAAAATAGAGGGGACAGAAGAAAATGCTCTGTGGTAAAGACTCAAAAAAAAAGAGAGAGAGAAACCCCACAAAAACAACAACTTGAGGGGTAGGTAAAGCTTTGCATCACTTCTGTTTCCCTAAAGTAATCATCTTTAGAAGGTTAAAAATGCAGCAAGTTGAAGTAAAGGCATATTAACTATGAATACTTTGGAAGTGCACTTCTAAATAGAACTCTTCTTTAATAATCAGCTAAAACCACTTGAGCTCACTTTTTAAAACATCAATCAAACATATCATTAGTACATTACAAATATCTGCTATTGACAGAGCACACTAAGTCCTAAAACAGAGATACTATAAATGCCTACACATATGGAAACAGCATTAACTAATTACTTTTTAGAACCATGGTCATTCAGTTGCTTGAAAAACCATCGTTATACTCCTAGGATTTCCCCAGGAAACTCACAGACAAAGCTCTCTTGTGAGTAAGCAACAGAGTTCCTAACAAAAAGAATATATAGTATCTAATTCCACTGCACAATAATAGCACAGACCAGTTAACAGTCCAAGATCTTCCAGGAGACTAAATTACATTTCAGGCACTCCACATGAGATAGCTCATAAGCCTTCACCACTTGCATCTTTCCACCTTCTACCCACCCTTCAGATTTTACCTAAAATGTCTATTCCTATGTAATGACTTGTTTGTCTCCATCACTAGATCATAAACTCAGAGGGCAAAGACTGGATCTTTCTTGCTTGGCTAACCATTTATTTGAAATATATTTTTGCTAAATGAAAGACTATATGAATATTGATCATAAATACAGTGACTTTCAAACCAAGAAACACTACATTCAGCTGCTAAGAGAATGAACTTAACCTTCCTTCCTACTGCCTAATATACAAGATCTTAGGATAAAGCCTTATTTCTATATCCCCATTACCATCTAAACCTGCACAGAAAAGCCTTCCTTATAAAGGCAGACTTAAGCTTCTAAATTTTATTGGAATTTCAGCTATAATCCAAAAATTAATGTGGACTTCCAAATTTATTCATAGCCAACCAGGTCTTTAGACATGTATCTTTTCCAATTACATTGGTGTTCAATAACAAAGTCTATCTTCCAAATATTCTCTTCTCAATATAGTATTTTTTTCATTTTATTTTTTATTAAATTTATTGGGGTAACATTGTTCAACAAGACCATATAGGTTTTGAGTGTAGATTTCTATGATACACGATCAGTATACTGCATTGTGTGCCCACCACCCAAAGTCAAATTAAAACAGTATTTTTTAATTCTTATACATTTTCAGTTATCTTAGATATGCTTTCAAAATGGATTAAGCATAGATTAATAATAGTCTTACTTTAA